GAGACCTGGAGGAAGAAGACAAACGGCCATCCCATTCATCTCCATCATCTCAGCCCAGGAAACTACTGTGCTCCGTGAGCCTTTGTGCAGCTGCCTCTGGCTCCTGTGTGTGTGTGTGTGTGGCGGGGGGAGGTACTCAGAAACTTGAACTTCTTCCTGATTTCTTTTCAGGGACCCCTGACCTTGATCTTTGTTACTCATTGTGGTCCCTTAAACTAACAGCACCAACCTAACTGGGGTATAAGACATATAGGATCTCAGAGCAAATGGCAGATCTACGAAATCAGAATCTGCATTTGAGCAAGATGCTCAAGTGATTTGTATGCATATTAAGGTTTTAGATTAGGTGAATAGAATCTAGTCTAACTTTCAGCTAAAATGAATTCTTCAATTCTTATTTGTATTATCATAATAATCTAAGCAAGTATTACTAAAGGCTTCAATTAGGATTATTTTGGTTTTTAATTAGGAATATAGTGAACAAAACTAAATTTTATCCTAATGGACACTTACTGGCACATAGTAGATGGCCAATAACACTGCTGAACAAATGAGAGAGTGACTTAGGGACCACATTACATGGACCAATCTACACAGCAATGCTGTTAAGACTTACAGTTCTATTGAGCTACTTTCACTCCTGTTAACAGGACTAAACCACCATATTTTGACTGGGTTGGTGGCTCGGTTTTAAACTGACCTTGCTTCCTATCCTTTGGTTCTCACACTGCTGAGTTGTCACCTGTGGGTAGGGAGCATGTTGTATAATGTCCCTTTTTTGAGACGAAGCAGGAGTTGGGAAATGTAGTCACTTGACTATCCTGGGCTTGTTTCTTCATCTGTAAAATGCCAATCTCAAACTGGCAGCTGTGGGATACTCCCTGGGTTAGGCCAGGTTCCCTCTGGCCTTTGCTTTCACATGCAGTTGCCCAGCGACTAGACCCTGGGCAGGTCTGTTGTCCCTGCTGCCCATCAACACACTTAGCCACAGAAGAGCTTCTAGTTGTCTTTGCATCGATCATCATTTCTTGTATCACTTTGGTTACGTTCTGATTTCCTTCACTTCTCCAGGTTTATCTCAGACTTCATCCATAGATTATGGTGAATTAAAAAAAAATACATTGTACAATCCCCTTTTCAGGACTCTGATTAAACTCATACACCCCATCTGGCGTTAAAAAAGCTCTTTCAAGCATCAATTCCTTCTCTGAAGTTATTTCCAAAAACCTACCCATAAATTAATAGTTATGGTATGCTTACTAGTCTCTCCAGGACTTCTGATAGTCTATTGATTCCAGGCAGCAGCTTAGCATCTGGTTTGGCTATAAAATTTAATTTTCTATAAACCACATGTTCCAATCACATCATATGGTACTGAGGGTTCTAATGCTGTGTGGGGCCTGGTGCTGACCCATATGGTTCTTTCCCATCTGCAAAGAAGGCTTAAAAAAAAATCAATACAGTATTTTTTAAATAGCTAACTCTACTCAACTTAAAGGATGGTCTGCGTTTTGAGTTTATGCTCTTGTTTTCTTTTTGATATGTTACAATATTATTTTTCTTTTTATATACATATTTGACAAAGTTCCAATCGACAACTCTGTGCCCAAATCATAGAGCAACGTTTTGCTGATCCATGAAATCCAAAATAGGCTGTCCAGTGATTTTTTTTTTTTTTTTTTACAAGACGGGACAATCCAGGTTTAAAATCTCCTCCACCTCCTTTCTGGAATCAATAAATACCTTCCTGTTATTTCTGATCAAGGTCAGCCAGTGATGAAAAGAATGGTTTCCCAGACATGCTTTTAAACAGAAGCCTTGTAAGCCCAACATCGATTTATTCGGCATGAAGAGACTAAGAGGCATCTGATCTGAGGCTGTCTCCATATTGTGAGGTCTTCATATCTCTGAGTCACATGCATTTAAAAATTATTATCATTATTGCTTTTCAAACTTTCAGTCACTGGGCATCACTTTGACCTTCAGCTTCAGTGGTAAATTTAGTGAAGCGCCCCTTCATCCTTAGGCCATGCCAGCCCAGGGGCACTCAGAATTTGGCTTCTATTTGTGCTCCTGGGCTTCCAGGAACCCCAGGGCCTCTGGCCACCTGCTTTTAAGGCTGTCCCTAGTGCCTCTCTAATTGTGCTCCCTCTCCCAGTAAAGGAAAGGACAAGACTGCTCAGGGGAGGGAACAGCCCCTTCCTTGAGGATCAGATTTCACAAAGCTCTGGCAACACTCCCGTGACCCAGGTGGGGAGAACATGCTCTGCTTCACTTCATCCTCTTCCCAGCTACTTGGGACACATCCAGTCCCCTTGTTAGGGCCTTGGCCGCTGCTCACCTGTCTTGTTTCAGTGTGGCTCATACTCATGTCCCAGGTGCCTGGCCAGCGGTTCTCATATTCTCTTCAGAGTCTGTGCAAACAGAACTTCTCACCACACTCCTAATGGCCCATGGCTCTCAAGCTCATGATTAGCAAATCCCATCTCCAGCCCACTCATGACCTCTGACACTGTAATGCTTCAAGGATGGCCTAAGGCAAAGCCAGAAGCAGGAAAGCCAACTAAGAATTATAGGGACACTGTCTTGTAGCTTTTTTCACTTAGCAATAAATAAATCATAGACAGCTTTTTTGCCATCAGTACATAAAAAACTACCTACATATTTTTAAAGGGTGAACAGTATTTTTCATATGGATATACTATTTAACCTATCATTTCTTGATGGGCACTTTTTCTCATTACAAAGAATGATGTGATAAACATACTTTTACGTGTACGTTTATGTTTGTATTTCTGTTTCATAGAAGTAGTATTTCTAGAACAAAGATAATATATAAATTCTGATACTGGTACAGTAATACATTTTGGAGTGCAATTCTCCCTGGTGGGGCATGATCAACATTCTTTTTGTTAATTCCCTTTGCCAATCATTGTTGATTTCTGTTTCTCTAATTAATGGGGAGGTAACATATTGAATAACTCTGTGCTTCTTTATCTATACATTTTCATTGGAATGTATTCCTTTTGGGGATTTTTACAAGCATAAAGGGGAAGAAAGCTCCTTTTTATTTTTAACCAGGGATTGAACCCAGGGGTGCTTAACCAGAGACACAGCCCCAACCCCTTTTATTTTTTGAGACAGAGTTTGGCTAAGTTGCTTAGTGCCTAAGTTGATGAGGCTGGCTTTGAACTTCAATCCTCCCTCAGTCTCCTGAGTTGCTGGGATTACAGGCAAGTGCGACCATGCCCAGTGAAAGCTCTTTGAACATGAATGGCAGGACCCTTTCTCTACATCAACACCTGCCTCCTCACTGAAGCCTCGCTGAGCTCCTAGGTTCCAGGCATTGTCAGCAACCTGGCCAGGAAGGCCTTGCATCCTCATTTTATTCATGTGACTGGGTCCAGCAAGGTTGGTGGAAAAGCTGGGACTCACCACCAACTTTGTTTTCAAGCCTGTGTTCTTTCCATTATAGCACTAAAAAACTCTTTAGTAAAAATCTCTTGGGACGATTTTAGGTGGTTCCCTGATGTAACAGAAAGAAAATATGGAACCTAGAAGAATTAAGAAATAAATGTATGTAGAGAGAGGTGGGAGGCACATCTCTTTTCTTTCTCTTCAGGCCAAGATACTTTGCTTGGTAAGAGAGGGAGGTCATTCCCTGTTTTTCATCAAGGGTTTCAAGCCTGAGGTGCCAATTTCTTGCAGCATATTCCTATACAATTGGATTACAAGAACAATTTAGGTTCTCAGGATTAGATTACTGAACCATGAAATGTTGGGCTACATCAATGTTTAACTTAAAAAAACAAAGACAAACCTAATTCCTGGGCCCTACTCCAGGAGATTCTGATTTAATTGGTCTGGGACAGGCCTGGGCAGCACTTTTGGAAGCTCTCCAAGTGACTCTGACTCTCAACCTTGACTGAGGTCCACTGTGATACTGTCCACTATCCTGTCTAACTCTCCAGACCACTCCTTGAGACAAGGAAAGCGAGGCCCACCAAGAGAGTGTGACTTGCCCAAAGTCATGCTAATGAGTGGCAAACCCAGTAGCTTTGATGGCCCCCAGTCCACTCTACTAAACTGACAACTGCACAGGGGCACCTTCGTTGCTTCTTTACGAAGATAACTCTGCTTAATGGCATCATCCATGTGTGCAGACCTGGCTCACTGCTTAGAACTGTCGTCATGTTTGCAACTTCCAGAACTGAGGTAATTATTTCCTTTGCTCCCAGACTGTACAAGAGCACGGCCTCATCTCTCATGGCTACCAGGCAGTTTCCTCTGCCCATTACGATGCTGACATCACCCACAAGACCACTTCAAACCAGGTCTTTTCTCATGAGAGTCATCTTCAGGCTTGAGATAATTATTACTAAAGGCATTTGTGGCCCTGGGTGACCCTCCTTCTGGGTCTTTGCCACAGCACGTGGGTAACCACAAGGCTGATGTCTGGCTTCCCAGCCCAACTGTTTGCTCTCTGACACATGCCTGACCTCTCCTCCTTATGGTTTTCCTAGCACTTGAAGCCACCATATGTCCCCAGCAAGAGGAGACAAACAGGTCTAGGGTGTGCACACCCACCTCTCAGACTTGGGAGCAGAACCCTGTTCAAATTCCTACCCCTACCTCCAGAGTGTGCACATCAGGAAGCCGAGTCTCAGAGGAGCTCAGTGACAGGCCCAGATGAACACCATGAGTTTCTGGCAGAGCCTATTAACTCATTCAAGATGGACTTGGCTTTCCTGGGAGCTGCAGTTCACTGCTGACTCATATTTAGCTTAAGACAAAGTTAAACTTTTTCATCTTTGCATATGTGCTATTCCTAAGTCACATCTCCTCTTCATGTACTATTTGTGGCAGCAACATTTAAATAACTGCTCTACAAAGTGAACAATGCTCACAGGTAGTAACTAGGGGTTTCTTCATGCTGCCTGCTTCATATTCAGATTATGCCGATTTCCCTCCAAATAAAGGCAAGTCTGAATTACAGAAAGTTCAATAATTGGTGTTTTAATATTTAGGAACACATGAAGTCACAAACTGGAATAAAACCAAAGGATGACTTGTAGAGGTACTTAAGAATTCTGAAGTCAAATTGGTTTCTAATTAGCATTCTGTTTTCCATAAAAACACACCCTTTCTCCCTGTCCTAACTTACTCATCCTTCACTCCAGCTACTCTTGGGTGACTGTCCATCTCACCTCATCCAGAGCTTCTGTGCCTGCAACCACTGCAATCTGACTGTGGCTCTAAGAATGACGCCATGATGGCAAATATTCCTAGGTGTCAGTCCCACATCACTGGCCTTTCTGCTGCATCTTACACTGCCCATCATTTCCTCCTTACTGAAGAACTCGCTCCTCCAGCCACAGCACCATCTTTTCAAATCATGCCAACTACGCTTTCCTTTTCACGATGATATCTTAGTTTACTGCTTTTATCCCTGTGCTCCTTAGGGGACTCTCAGCCCCATGAATGAAAACAAGATCAGATTCCTCCTCAGTCACTAAAACCTAGCACCATGGTGGCATGAGATTGAGATAATATCACAGATTTTTGGTGTGTGGTGACACTATGCCAAGCACTTTATACAAATTAACTCAATCCTTGTAACTATGAAATAAAAACTACACCCTTCATTCTATAGATGAGGAAGTGGGTCAGAATGTAGGCTCCATAGGGACAAGGACACATCTTATCACTTGATTTCAACAGGATGTAGAATAGTGATCGGCCACAAGTGGAAAGTCCAAACCCAAGTCAGTCTGACTCTAATAACTTTATGTTATGGAATCAGTCCATCACTATGTTGTGAATCAGTCCATGACTGTCCCCTCTCCTGTGGCACCTCTTAAATGACTATGCATTATAGCTGAGGAAAGTAAGACCCGGTAAGGGACCCACCAGAGGTCACACAGCTGGAGTGGCAAACACAGCCTACTGTGAAGATCTGATGACCTGCACCCTGCTCTGCCAAATGAACAAATGCACAGGAACACCGCAGCTTTTTCAACGATAACCCTGCTACGCAGTATTATCCCTGCTTGGTAACTTAATAGTCATAGTGCAGTTTGGGTCAACATCCTAGGCTCTCCCCACCCTTTGCCTGCTGGCCTTCTTCCAGTGTGAATACTCTCCTGACTCTACTTCCTTCATGCTGGTGAGTCCCAAATCTCTCTCTAGAATAGCCAACTGCCTGTCAGACAACGCCATCCGTCAATCTCCAATTTACAAATTCTATACGTCAGAACAGAAGTAGCTTTTGCACTAAACCTAAACCGCTCTTTCTCCTCAACTGTTTTCACCAGATGGTGGCCACCCTTCCCCCATTTTCACTCAACCCGTGAACTACAAAAACCAATCTTCCTCTCTCCTAACAGCAGAGCATGCTGTTTCAGAGCAAAGCCATTCACGAGAGAATGGGAACTGTTTTAGCAGAAGTTGTGCAAGACGTATACTGAACTCACAAAACCCTGTGAGAGAAATTTTAAAAGCTCAAAATAAATGGAGAGACAGAATCTATGATTATATATTGGAAGACTCAATATTGTTAAGATGACCATCTTTCTAAATTTATATATAGATACAAAATAATCCCTACCAAAACTTCAGCAGCTTTTTCTGCAGAAACTGATAAGCAGATCTTCAAATTTATACAGAAATACAAAGGACTCAGAATAGCCTAGTAAGAACAGCTAACTTCTCCATCCCTGCACACATGAAAACACACAAAAGGGGAGCATGTATGTACACTTCGTGATTCAGAGCTTAAAAATTCTTACATATATGTTCAATTAACTTCTAACAGAGGTGCAATGGGGCAAGGCTCAGTCTTTCTTTTTAACGTATGTGCTGAGATCACTGGCCATCCCCTGGAATTAATCTCTTACCCTGCACTAAAAAAAAACTAATTCAAAATGGCTTAGAAGCCTAAATTTAAGAGTCCAAACTGTGAAACTTCCAGAATACATCAGGAGAAAAATCTTTATGGCCTTAAGGTAAGCAGAGATATACAGCACTAAGAGCACAATTCATACAAGGAAACTAATAAACGTGATTTCTTTAAAATTAAAAACACATTCATTTCTAAAGACATTAGTAAGAAATGGAAGACAAATCACAGGCTGGGAGAAAATATTTGCAAATCACATCTATTAAGAACTTATATCCAGAAATATATTAAGAACTCTTATTATTCAATAATAAGAAAATTCAATTAAAAAGAAAGCAAAATATTTAAACAGACATTTTACCGGGAAGATATACAATTGGCCCAAAAGCACATAAAAAGATGCTTAACATCATTAGCTATCAGAGAAATGCACATCAAAGCCATGAGATATCACTTCACATTCACTAGGATGGCTATAATTAAAAACTCAGATAATCACAAGTGTTGACAAGAAATCAGAACCCTCCTCCATTGTGGGTAGAAATGCAAGATGGCACAACTGCTTTGGAAAACAGTCTGGAAGTTTCTCAAAAAAAGTTAAAACATATGTCCATATAAAAATGTGTACACAAATGGTCACAGCAACATGTGAAAATAATCCAAATGTCTATCAACTAATGAATAAGCACAAGGTGACAGTGCTACACAATGGAATACTATGCAGCAATAAAAAGCAAATTATTGATACATGATACAAGAATGAACCTCAAAGACATTGCTAAGTAAAAGAAACCAGAGGCAAAATACCCCTATTGTCTGATTCCACTTCAAGACAGTATCCAGAAAAGGCAAATCAGGACTGAAAGTGATCAGTAGTTGCCTGAGCACTGAGCATGAGAACAGGCCTGAATTGAAAATAGGCACAATAGATCTTTTTGAGGTGATGACAATTTTCTAAAATTAGTTGTGATAATGATACAATTACTAAAAAATCTTCTAAAAGTGAAATGGGTGAATTTTATGATAGGCAAGTTATGCCTCCTTAAATCAGTTCAGGGGTAGGGAGGGAAACAGGCTGGGGATTCAAGTCCTGGCTCTATTCTTACCAGCTGTGTCACTAGGGGAAAGTTACCTAAACTTTGTGCTTAGTTTTCTCATCTGTGAACTGGGAATTATAGTAGTACACACAACATAGTTATTTTGAGAATTAAACAAACTGATACACATTAAATGCTTAGCACATCGTCAGATACATAATATGCATTCAATACTATTTTTCTTACTAGGATTATTAGTATTGCTTTCATTCCATTGTCAAGTCTTGCCAATTTCATTTAGTAATCAGTTTTCAAATTAATCACTGTTTCTTCGCAGCTTCTTCCCTGGCCTTAAGCTCTGTAGCACATGGAGATAAAGGACTCCTCCTGTCTTCCTAACTAGCTCCAGACTCATTCCCTCACATCTGCCCAGCCTCCACAGCCTCAAGGACCAGAGGAAATGGAAACACAAGCATGGCAAACCCCGCCAGGATCAGGTTCAGTAGCATACGAGGGCCTCCACATCTGGTCTCTTTGTGGGACTTCTCCATCCTTTGCCACTTCACCCCACAAACACATCCAAGGGGCAAAACCTCACACACATACCCTGCAGCTCATGCAGCTCCTCTTGCCTTCATCCCTCTGCAGCATTTCCCCTTTCTCACTGCCTCCCGTCTACTATCCTAATCCTTTCAGGCTCTGAGGCAACTCCCTCACAAGGGCTTCCTAAGCTTTTTGAGCAGGGGTCATTCTTGGCCTTTTGTGTCCACACAAAGCCTGTGGACATCTCCACACTGAATCAAGACACAAATATTACAAACCTGTCTCAAATCTTGAAGAGTGAACACAGCACAGTTCCCTGGTACTTTTGAAGATGCTCAATAAAATGTTGACTGCTCCAATGAAGGGCTAACTAGTCAGTGTTTTCTCAGCGCTCAGGCTTCCAAATAGCTGAGCTTTTAAAAACATGTCATTTAAGGAAAGGGGGAGCCAGAGGTTGTTTAGGAAAATGGAAATCTTAAAAAGCTCTCTCTGTTTTGAAGGACTGTTAGAAATAGCAAATGAGAGTGTTACAAGGTCATACTGCCTTTCGTATGAAGTGATCCACACTATAACCAGTTCATCAGAATTTACAAAGATGGCTGGCAATCTTAATCTTTCCGGTGGAGTTTTTCCTAACTTTCCTGATGTCAGAATTTCTAAAGTCAAACTGTTAATCTGTTACTAATTTTTGAGCTCACAGTGAGAATCTTTGGAGAGATTTTTAAAGAGAGCTTAATGATTAAACTTTAAAGTTTTAGGGGGGAAAAAGTATTATCAGATGCCTGGATTCCATCCAGATAGTGTGATTTTAGTGGTCTGGGATGGGATCCCAGCAGAAAAGAAATTTTAAAGTTTACCAGATAATTCTAAAGAGAAGCAAGTGTCAAAATCCACTGTTTAGAAATCTGAAATTATTCCTTTCTCAGTTGCCTCATCTATAAGATGATGGCAGTTAGATTTATGGATAAGTAAAAGTTCTTTTGAAACTAAAATGTATCAATAGATGTTACAGAGATTCCTTTCTCCTATTCTCAAAAACTTGGGTCATCTTAAAAGTAAAGTTTGGCTGGGTGCAGGGGCGCACATCTATAATCCCAGTGACTTGGGGCTGAGGATTGAGGATCACAAATTCGAGGCCAGCCTCAGCAACTTAGCAAGACCCTGTCTCAAAAGAAAAAAGAAAAGCCCTGGGAATGTGGGAATGTGGATCAGTGGCAAAAACCAACCAACCAACCAACCAACCAATAAGTAAAGTTTGACCCCTTCTATTTGGCCAATAAGCATTACTATCCTTATTTACAGACATTTAAAATCTACTAAAGGACAATTTAAAGCAAAACAAACAAACAAAAAAACCCAAATCCTCAAACCATAATCATTAATTAATAATATTAAGATGCGTCACACCATCAAATGCATACTAAAATAAAAGCGTGTTTCTAAAAGGTAACTCAGAATAATAATCTGATTTCAGATGAGGAAGCTGGAGGTCCTCTATGAATAAATCTGTATTTGTAGACATGGCATGTTTTTCTCTCATCATGAAAGTGAAAGGAAAACAGATCTCAACAAACTACTGACTAGGTACAGTTTTTGTGCTTACATTATAAAAGGATCCAAGAAATTTGAAGCCATTACAACTATGCAAGTCTACCTTAAAGTTACACTGAGTAGACACAATTTAGTGTTAGAATCTCCTCAAAATTAAAATGGAATGTTAAATAATTACATCTTTTTTTCCAAAAATGTCCTTTGGACTGAAGGAAACTCTTTGCATGCTTTCAAAAATTTTCAATATCTGCATTAAGAAGCTTTCCATTTTTAAATAATTCTATTAAAAAAAAAGGAATTCAATTTTTAAAACCCTTTGAGGTCCTGAATATAGTTTCTTTAACTTCTCAAACTAAATATAATACACACATAAATAATAAATAAAAATAAAAACAATACCAAAATTCTTATTATTTTGGGCACAACTGTCATAAAGAGAATAATCAACGGCAAAATACACCATGTGCATACTATTACAGACAAAAACCAATTTTGACCCTCTTTGCCAATATTTTTTCATCTTTTATCATCATTTCATTAACTTTTATTAAAAAATAAATTTGAAAGAGTAAAACTGTATAGTGGCAAAATAATTTCAAATTAAATTCTGCTTAAAAAATGAACATAGCTACATTTGGTAAGAGGGAAGACTAGAAATAATATTGTAATGTCATTAAATAAGGGAAAGATGATGTCATTCTAAATACAGTCTTACTGGAAATTAATAAAACATAAAACACAGAATTGTAACATACACAATTAATGTGGTGAACACTGGGCAACATCTCTCAATTAGAAAAGTAGCCTTAGAAGCATCAGGAATGCAGCACTTTTGCCATATTAAAAAAATGCACATAGAAGACACAAAACAAAAAATACTTATTACTTTTAGCATGTTAAAAACAATCACATCAAAAAAGTATACAGATAAAAAATGTCATAGATGACATAAGAAAATAGTGTGTGTGTGCGCATATATATATTTTTGCATATATATATAAACTCTACAGTATTTACCACTGTTGATTATATATATATATATGAGCAGCTTGGGTGCTCTCATAAACTAAATTGTACAGCTTGGTTCATTATAAGTCACAGAATCATAGTTTAAAAATTTGAATTACTATCCTCAGCACATTTTTATACACATTTATTTCTCAGCTTCCACATGATCTAAATCAAGAACCTGTTATTTTGTCAGGAGTTTGAGCTCCAGTGTAGTGTTCAGCTTTTATACACTGCATTTGTTTTGCCATTTAAAAACATCATTACCAGGTTGATTAAAATTACATTAGACTCATTATATACATAAAAATATTGTCACATTCACTAGCTAAACAAATGTTATTTGCATTTTAAGACACACTTTTGTACCTCAAAAGCTTAAAGCCCCAACTTGCAACAGGAAGAGCCATCTATGTTAGATTTTCTAACTTTTTGTTTTCTAATATGAGCACAATAATGTTGAAAACAAATACTCCAATTAAAAACAAAGTTCTATTTTCTTGGAGTGCCCAAAATTTTGTGTTTCGGTAATTGTAGTGTAATAGAATATTTTTAAAGATATCACTGATTGTTTTAAACCATGAACCTGAATTTTTTTCACAGAAAAAGAAAAAATAGTTTTGAAAGTTTGAAAGTCACACTATATTTTTTAAAAAGATCAAGATCTGAGATGCCTATTAATAGTTAGAATCATCTTTTTTACAATTTTAATATGAATAACATAATGGCCTGATAACTGCAGCAATATCCATTGATTACATTCTTTAAAGAAAATGTCAGAAAATGATCATGTAAACAACTGCCTTGGGCTCTTCAAGGTGAGGCCCTGCAAGAATTTAAGAAGCAGAATTGAGAAGTAACCAGACCATTAATACTTCTTTCAAATGAACTTCAAAGGCCTTTCACCTTGTTCCTCCAGTGCTGCATGGTCACTAAGTTGCAACTTCTCCTGCAGCATTCCTGGTATCTGGCAAGGAACAGCATGCTCTGAGCATTCCAAAAGAAAGAGCAGAGCCAGGTGCAAAAAAGCACTTAAGAATCATCTGGGGGAATGGATACAAGGAGAGTTGTGCCTTTGGCCATAAACTTACCTACCTGCTCCAACTTTTAAGCACCAGTATGTGGTCAGCCTTTCTCTCCCATGTCTTTAATTTTCAGATTGAAAGAAAATGGCAGCCATTGAAGGATAACAATGAGCATTCTGTGAGACACTATATTAACAAAGTCAGGGAAAACTCTAATTTTAGTCAGTTTAGGTCCCAGGTTAAAAACATGGGGGGTGGGGGGGGGGGGTAGAACTAGACTAAAAGACAAGAAAAAGAAAAATATAATATTATTCCATGGATCTAGATTAAAAGTCGTTTTTAAAAAAAGTTTTTTTTTTTCTTCAGGTCTGTATTCAAATGTGTTATGTATAGGTGCCTATAATATCTATTAAAAGACATATTATATGTAGCCTTAAAAAACATCTGTTCTAGGGTTTCCTCAGTGGTTTGTTAACATTAGCTAAAACAGAATGGGCCAAAAGAATAAAATGTCAGTTTTTAGAGAAAGATATAAATGAAACTGAGTAAAGGATTATTATTGTGTGTGTACCCCTAAATGCTATTGCTATGTTTCCAGGTTAAATTCTTTAACAGGTTCAGTGATGATGCAATTTAAAATGCTCATCTTAAGCAGCATCTACATGTGGGATGAAAACTTCTACATATTATTATTACTAATATACATCAGAATTCTGCGAGTTGTTTCCAAGAGTATAAAATACTGCTTTGGCAATTACAAACATAGCAATGCAGGTTTCATATGGTTTCTATTCTCGTCTTTTGCCAAGTATACATATATTCTCACAGCAATACTGATTCTTGAACAGAAAGCCCCTCCCGCTTTCTGTAGTGATATGCTGGAGGTGAAGGCCCTGCATACTGATACCCAGCTGAACTGGCATCTTCTACAGCTGGTGAAGTTTTATACCGCACTGGACTATCTACTGAAACTGCTGGGAGATTATGGTCCTGAAAAGGTACGTGTTGAAAGGCTGAATATTTTGGTAAATTGCTTAAGTGGCTACGGTTAGCATCTCGGGTCCATGATTGTCCATGCATCTCAGGTCTGTATGAATAACTAATTTCTGACCATTTTCTGTTATCTGGCAAATAATCCACTGGAGGAATGATGAATTTTCCATTCTTTGGTGACCCTGAATTGCCTGAGTATCCCCCAGCACCAATATCAACAGGAAGGACTTCTATTCGATTGGATGGTAGAACAAGAGGTGTTGGGCGGCTGTAAGATTTCTCTGGAGAAATATCAACTGACAGAGTAGAACCGAAAGGTCTTCGGGAAGGATGAATTTGAGTCCCAGGGCTGATCTGTGGAGGTACAAAGCTGCTGTTAGCAGTGAAGATGTGTCTTGGAGAATTTCCATGGTAAATAGGGGGGTTGCTGTAGGAAGGTGGGTGCACAGTCCCTCGATCTTCCCCTTCTACCTGGGATTGATGTCTTGTATAGCCTGGAGGCTGTACTTTAAAAGTAAACTTGTTGGATACTTTTGATGGACTAGAACCTGGCTCAACATGCTTTCGTGGACTGTTAGAGTAAACAATGTTCCTTGGACTATGAGAGTAAGCCCTTTCTAGTGCTTCTTCAGCAGAAGTCCCATTTTCATTCTCACCACCAGGTACGTTATCATACTGGGATGCATTGGAGCCTCGCTTCCCATCATCAGCATCCAAAACCTTCATCTTTTGCCTTGTGTTTGATATCCGAGGATCAGTAGAATTTGGGATGGTGACTGCAAGTGTAGGGTGCACCGATCTACCTTCAATGGCATATTTGGCAGTCCTTTCAATAGCTGAAGTATCTGAGGGTTTATTCCATTTGGGCATAAATTCCTTTCTGATATTTGAAGTAGCATTGCTATTTTGGTTAGCAGCTGCATGGTTATACTGCTCAGAATTGTCTTGTGGACCTGATGCAAGTTTTCTTTGAAAAGCTGCCTCATTAAGATTTTTACTATCCTCATCCACGGACTTCTGCCGGAGCTGCCTGACTCTTTCTGGAGTACCAGTTCTACTCTGATGGTGGGATGAGTGCTCATGCTTTTTGGAAGGCGATGATCCACTTTCTCTTCTGCTGCTTATATGGGGACTGGGCCTGCCAACACTTCTTTGTCCATTGCTCAGGTGATTAATGCCAGTGGAGTGACATTCAGGTGGAAGATGCCCCAAAGGTTTCTTTGGATATTCATCCTCTTTACCTAAAGGGAAAGATAAATTCATAAGTAAAATAAATATCTGAGTAAATAGTATCTGATTTAAGTACACATTATTAATAATTGCATGTTTTTTATATATACATATTTTTATACCATGGAATTTTTTAAAAAAATATTTCTTTATTTATTTATTTTAGTTTTCGGCGGACACATCTTTCTTTGTATGTGGTGCTGAGGATCGAACCCAGGCCGCACGCATGCCAGGCGAGCGCTCTACCGCTTGAGCCACATCCCCAGCACTATACCATGGAATTTTAATGACTGTCAAGAAGTACTTTTTCTGGAAAGACCAATATTAAAACATACCAAAACTCAAGACCTTATTAGGCAATATACAGGCAGGAACAGTCTGAAACCTTGTGGACAAGATTCACACAATTGTATAACACGATTCCTGTATTTTGTTCAGACATATTGTTACATGTTTTTTCCAGGAATGCAAAGCTGATGTTCTATTTCCATTCCTGACACAATCCTGCAGAGTCAGTAATTCAGTGTCTTAATATTACATTACTTTAATCTATCTCAACTAAAATGGTTTCCAAATCTCAGTAAATTTCCCAGGCTGGGGTTGTGGCTCAGTGGTAAAGCACTTGTGCCTAGCACGTGCAAGGCACTGGGTTCAATTCTCAGCACCACATAAAAATAAATAAAATAAAGGTATTGTGTCCAATTACAACTAAAAAAAAATACTTTAAAAACAAACAAACCAACAACAACAACAACAACAAAAAAAAACAACAGAAAAACTTTCCCTATCAACTTCAAGCAGGTCTGTCAAATTTAAAATTCAACTGATGACCTACTGTAGTGTCAAACTTGTCTCAACATTATTGTTATTATTATATCTTGAATACCTTCCTTAGGATAATTTCCTGATAAAAAGTATTCTCTAACCAGAAGTAAAATTCTAAAAAGGTCTTACTTTAAGTACAAAAATAGAAAAAAAATTAAATAAAGAAAATTGTATCAGATACGTTTTGTTTTATATTTTAAGTAATTAATAGAAAATTCATGAGGAATTGAAGAAAGGTTGAATAAACTGGCCATTTTAGTATGAAGTGTTTTAAGCTGATCTATTATGGGTAGTCAATAAATACCATCATGAAAAAACAACAGACTCCATATGCTAAAATTTCAACTTGTTTTTCACCTGTTATCACAAAATAACATATTGTCACTTGAAATAAAAAATATCCAACAATAGCTACTAATACACTCTGCAATGGCCACTGTGCTGAGCAACAGCCCTGTTAGTGGTGAGCACACAGACCATGTCTTTGTTTTTATGAGGCTCAAGTCTTGGTGTTAATAAACCTTGTCAATTTATCATCAGGCTCCCAGTTATGCCCATTTTCTTCTTCCTTTGATGAGGCAGATCCTCAGAGCCCTACGGCCCCAACAAGACGTGGTCCTGCCTGTGTTTTATACATAGGAAAGCAGTCTCAGAAAAGCCAATCTTATCCCACTTCACTGTTACCTTTCACTGTGCCATTTTCATAAACTTGTAGAGAAACTTTTGATGGTTTTAACTGAATTTATATTGACAGTATTTATATAAGCACTTGGTTTTATATATTTAAAAGCACAAAAGCATCAGAAGTGGCAATGAAATTCTGTTTCATTTGTTTATCCATTCAACAAATGCATACAGCAACTATTAGGTCCCAGGCACTGTCCTAGGCCCTGTCCTTCTGGAGCTCATACTCTACTTGTACATAGTGCTATGAAAAAAGTGGAAAAAGCAATTAAAACCATCAGGGTCAGGCAGCACAGGGCAGCAAAGAGTACCATCAAGAACAAGGCCTTTTGAATAAAGGTCTAGAGGGAGAAAGACAGAGGATGAGGCCAAGGACCCACAGTATCAAGTCACAAAGGACACTGACTAGAGTGAGGACTTGGGAATTTGTGTGGAGTTAAATGAAAAATGCTAGAGGCTTTTCAGCAGGGAGTTACACGATCTGATGTTTATATTAGAAAGGTCACATGAAATGGCAGAGTAGACTTCGGCTGTGGTAATAACTAAGGATGATAATGGTGACAATAACTGCTAATACTCATGAAGTACTCACTATGAATCAGCCACTGCTCAAAACCTGTACATACGGCAGAGAACATTGGTCACTACTGTTTCTTCATTTTTAATAGACGAGATGCCTGAGGCAAGGATTAACTTGCTGAAAAACTCAAGGCTAGTAAGCAGCAGATCCAGAGTTCAAACCCAGAGTTGATTCCAGAATTTTTGTTCTTTACCCCTACACTACAACTGGGGTGAAAAGTAGTGAGAAGAGGTTGTTTCTGGGATTCATTATTAAGGTAGAGTCTACACGCTTGCTCAGTGTTTTAGATGTGAACTGTAAGGGAATGAATAGAGTGGTTTAAGGACAGTGACAAATACCATTCAGCAGTAGTTGGCATATCAATGTGGCTCTTATGTCTTTTTGTAATAAATGATTTTATGATATGTAGAAAAATTATTTCAAGTGATAATCTAAACTGTAAAATGTTTGTTATACAGAAAAGTTTTCCTTGCTTTATAAGTGTTATGTGAAATGATCAAAGCATTTCCAGTTTGGCTTCTCCCTAGTCAACATATGAAATTCATGGAATTAAGAAAGTCGACTTAAATGCAGCCCAAATCAAAAATAGCCACAGGTAGTTATTCTGCCCCCCCAGTTAAAAGCTAGTGAGCAATAAATATAAAACTACTCTAGAATCTCCAAAAAGTTTTATCATTCTACAAATAGTTATCCATTTAATCCCAGATAAATATATTAATTCCTTCTTCCCTGTTGGCAAATAATCCCAACAAATACAAATTATCAATAAGATATAAAAACCTATATAATAGAGGGTTAGGGTGTGGCTCAGTGGCAGTACACTTGCCTAGCATTGTGAGGCCCTGGATTTAATTCCCAACACCACCAAATAATCAAAACCAACCTATGTAACAGAAAAGCTGAATTTATGAACTTTCCTTTAGTCTCCTCTGACAATTTTTTAAGCAGAATATAGTAATATGATTGGCTAATTTAATGGCTGGTTGACAGTCCATCAGGATAACAGTATCAGCCAATCATCAGAACACCCTTTCAGGTTGGTGAGTAGGAACCCAATGAAAACAAATATTTAAAAGCAAAGGAAAGCTGTGGCACAAGAGAATGGCGAATTCACACCAACAAAATGTGCTGCCACAGGGACAAAACTGGATTTGCTGCAAAGATTTTCATGCTGAGCCTTTTCAGCTGTCCCTCTTCTCTATTCACTGGCTTCTGGCAGTCTACAGAGAGAGCCACCAATTTTTAGTTCACATAATGTTAAATGTTTTAAAAACCCTCCATAGTAGAATTTTTTAAAAAAAGGCAGAATAAAACAGATCTCAAACTGAGCAGCTACTGTGCCTTGCACATGTTCTCCCTGGAACCACACTGTGGGTGGAGGCTCAGTGCTCTTCGGTCTGCCTGCAGATGCCCACAGTCTGCTTCCAATATTTCAGTCTTCATCAATTCACAATTCATGAAAACTTAATTTATCCGAAATTAGCTGTTTCAAAGAGTAGCTATCCTTAGATCTATATTCTAACTCTTAAAATTGATTTATTTCTATTTAAAAAAAATTATAGATTGCCTTTTCTGATAGCAAAAAGTCACATATTTTATTATTTATGATCATTTACTGTTATGGTTAGGAAACATTAATAAATATTTTAATTTAAATGTAATAAAACCAACTATACCAATTAAAATTTATTTTATATAACCACATCAAAAAGACAACTTAATGAAGCAAACATGGAAGCTAGACTGGGGCAATAACAAATCCATAGAAGAATTTAGAGTTTTCAAAACTTTGCAGATTCCATATTGCTGGGATGGTCAACTTGAGGTTGGCTTTCCAAAGTGTTTTCCACAAACACTCAGCTTTGGCCACTTCTTGATGATGAGGGACATGAAAGGGTATCCTATTGCCCTTTCCTTGCAGTGCTGGGGATGAAACCCAGGGCCTTGCACATGCTACACAAGCATTCCAACACTGGCCACATCCAAAAATGGTACCCTTTTAAAGTGTGGTGGCCAGACATTTAAGCAATATTCTCTATTTGAACTAAAGAAAATAAAATGTGTGATTAGATTACTTCCCTTATCCAGCTTTGTAATGGAAAACGGATTTGCTTTCTGGTCCTCACATTGCCTTGCTGACCCTTTTCACAAACATTATTTCCCAAATGTTGTATATGTCCAAGGCATAGTGTGAACAGCACGGCCAACAAGGACAAATGACATGATTTTGAATCCTGGCTCTGCCATCTTGAATTTATATAACGAAACCGTTCCAGTCTCAGATTTCTTATTTATTAATGAAGATAGTAACATCGTTTTGTAGATATGCTGTGAAAATTGGAGTTTATATGAAAAAAAAAAGGCTAGCATATTACTTGGAATACAGCAGGTACTTAGCAACTGTTGTTATTACTCAAGGCATATTATTTTAAGACAAATTCAAAGTACATCTTGATTACTAGCCAAGTTTATCTTAATTCTGACTCATCAATGGGAGATCTCCCTGAAATTTAATATTATACCTTCCCATGTAATGCCAACCACAAATCTAAACACTGTGCTTCAATTCTTTCATTTAAGTGATTGATTACAAATACTGAACTAAGTAAGTTAGGTGGAGCACCTTAACTTCTTAAAATATAACAAACTCATAATAATTAGTAAGAAAATGAAGGATACCCCATATAGAAAACTAAATAAAGAATGTGAACAGGAAAAAAGAGAGTAGGTAAATATGAGTTACCAGAGAAGTGCAAATTAAAATACTTCTGAAATTAGTATCTCACTATTGTGGGTTTGGAGAAACAAATTCTCCAAAATACGTATTGAAGCTTTTGATCTAGCATTTCACCTCTGGAAATTTAATATAATTAAGGCACATGCAAAATGTTTGCTATAAAGATATTCAAAACTGCACTGCTT